ATAATATTACGATGATATTACAGACATCGTATTACGTGACCACTACTCCCCACTCGGTAAACAGTAATCACAAAATCTAAGAATCTATTTTCAGAAATATTTTCCGATAAGGCGATAATATTTCACTACGAATTCACAAAATATATATAATTAAAATAAATGAAAAAATAATAATTTAGATAAATATGTACGTAAATGTTAAATATGCGTATAATTAACAAAAACCAATTAAAAAGCTAATAAACTGACAAAAAAGTACCAATAAAGCATTTATTTACGAATATCACAAGAAAAAGCAAAAAAAGCAAAAACAAAATTGCATATTTGAACTCTGTGATGAATGAATCGAATTTTATTTTTGATTAGCTATGTCCTGGAGTACTATGAAAGAAAATGCAAATGCTACAAAATCCTAGCCCTAGTAATAATATTTGTCTGCCGTACGGTGGTGGGGATAGCGTTTGAATCGACGCCGCCCGACGGCTCGTTTTATTTGTGTGCGGGTATACGAGCGCGCGCTCCAGTGTATTCTTTATCTCGATGGTTTTATCACGTCTGCACCTGCGACGGACGCACCAGTGCAACCACTTATCCAGAAACTACCAATAGGTGTACGCGCGACCGTCGATGCAGCTGCAGCTGCACGCGGCGACTGCTGCAGTCGGTCGCAACAGCCAAACCAGACCTTAAGAATTAATTATTCTTTGGTTGATAAGATAACATTGGTACTCAATAGTCAATTATAATACAAGAGGAACAGAAAAAAGTTTCGAGATATCGAGTTATCGAGTTTTATTCTAATGGTTTGTTTGAGGGTATTTCAATTTAGTTCGAAATAGTAAAAAATTGAGATATTGACTTTCAACATCATAAGAAATAATCGCAATTAGATATTTTCTCATTCAAATTGTATTATAAAAACACGTGTTTTTAGATTTTTTTTCTCTTTAAAAATTCATCTTAAGTTTAATATTAATAATGGATCATGTTGATGCTGATGATTTTGCCCCAACAAATACATTGATTTGTGTAAGTATTAATAAATCAGTTTTATAATAAATAATTAAAATTACTGAATTTGTTTTATCAAGTTATATCATAATACTATCAGAGTAGCTAATGGAAGGTTACATTTAATTAATTAAGTCTAAAATTAAAATAGAATTGAAATTAAACGTAGAGTTTATAGGGACTGGACTGGAAATCTCAATAGATTTTTTTGCCTATTTTATGGTATTTTATTTTACTATATTTAGTAAACAACTGGATTTTTTATCTTAACTAATATAATGAATTTAGTAATAAAAAATGTAAAGTACACAATTGTTATTTATGTTTCAGAATAATGATTCAAAAGATCACCCTCGTCATTTAATCCCCAAGCTATGTCGACAATTCTATGCCAACGGCTGGGTCACTGGAATAGGTGGCGACATCAGCATTAAATACAAGTACATAATTATTACTGTTCATCACATCTTAATTTTCTTTAAATTGTGTTAATCTAATAGAGTAACATAATTTTATAATATGCTTATTAGTTATTTCCCTTTAATATGTTATAATTACGTATGACTTGAATATGTATAATAAACTATAATTTTGGTAATATAGCTTAAAAAATTAATTAACTTTTTATGATGATTAGTGACCAAATTTTTATTGCCTCATCGAGTGTTCAAAAAGAAAAGATTGAACCAGATTTACTTGTTCAAAATCTAGATGGTGAGGATATTATAGTTCCGGAGTCTGAAAAAAAACTATCAAAAAGCCAGTGCACTCCCATATTCATGTGTGCATATACTGGTAAATTAAATAATTAGAAATGTTTTATTTTTTTACTAATAATTTATGGAAAAAATTTAGAGAGAAATGCAGGAGCTGTGATACATGTATATTCTCTAGAGGCAGTCAAATTATGTTTGTTAAATCCCGAAAATGAACTAAGGATTACTGGCTTAGAAATGATGAAAGTAAGCAACAACTATGAAATGGTATTTTCACAGATAAAAGTATTTGTAAATATTTTTAGGGAATTTTCAATGAAAAAACAGGAAAATTCTATGATAATGATGAAGAACTTGTTATACCAATAATCGAGAATTCAAAATATGAGAAAGATTTAGTTGAAACTTTTAAATTAGCTTTGAGAAAATACCCCAGCACTTCTGCAGTTTTGGTCCGCAACCATGGAATGTACGTTTGGGGTAGTTCATGGATTACAGCTAAAACACAGTGAGTTTAAACGTTTAAATGTATTAGGCGCACAAATTACTTATTCTTTTTAATGGATTTTTAGGCTTGAGTGCTATGAGAATTTATTCAATGTAACAATTTTCAAGAAGACACACAAAGTTTAATCAAATTGTACATGTAGACTTTATCCTATCGGAGAGCAATTGGGAGTTATCCAAAGGCTATTGAGGAAGAACTCAACTTATTAATCGTTTTTAAACTAAATCTGTTTGTTCATTATTTCGTAATATTAAAAAGACTTTTTAGTCTTCTCATAAAATGATTTTTTATTCTTTATATATTATATAATTTATGAGTATATTATCATTATTACAAAATTGTATGATTTTTAGTTTAGACAAAAATTTATTTTTATTAATTAGTTGGTTTAAGCATCCAAAATATTTTGCTATTTATTGATTTTGATTGATTTAAATAATCATGTTTCACTATTCACTAAATGTTCATATAACATGGGAGTAATCTATTACTGTACAGTATAAGCAGTCAACATCAAGGTCTTTTGAGTATCAGATCGGTAGAATCGCATAAACGATATTTAAAAATATACTTTTACTAAAAAAAATTAAGGATGTTATTGATTTTGCAAGAGTATTATAAATCAATTACATATTCTTTTTATAAAGATTCTTAAAAAGCTTCTCCAGAACAGTGTTGTAACTATAATAACTTATTCAATATGTTTATTCCATTTTAGGCTATTACATGTCAAAAGTAGATATTTTACATTTTTTAACTTCTTTTATTCCTAGAAAACTACATTTTATTTCATTGTCTGAATCACATTCATGAACTATTTTCTTATTTGTACTATTTGTACTATTTACAATTATAAATTAACATGCTTTTAATTCTAAATTGTACGTTATCTGTTTTATTTGAGATGAAGTGAATTGTCAAACCAGCTTTTAATTATTGCTATGAGTTACAATATGATTTGCTGAATTATACAGCTCGTTAATTTGGTTTTTCTTTTTCAAAACATAATTTTTTGCTCTGGAGATTTAAAATTAAATTAATCTAGTATAATATGGATACATCTATGTTACCGCAAATGCCCGATCACTGGGTAAACCTAGGTTTTACTGTTTGTATTCAGCAAATGCTGAATTTCTGAATTTGATTCGGGCTTTTACTAAACACGTTGTGGACATCCTAGGATATACAAATTGACTTAGTAAAAGCTGATTAATATTACACGACACATAACATTTAAACGATAAGCTGCGTAAAAATTATAATTTTATATTATTAAAATAAACTATACATAAATTCTTTATACAAAAAAAAAATGCATTTTAAGATGTACATTTTGTCTGGCAATTACATCTCAACATTTTTGCTCGCAATAATTAATAACAATTATTTTTAAAGATAAATTTACGACTGCAATGTGTAGTTACAGCATTATAGATATTAATAATTTATCTTAGGACTTGCATTGTATCGGGTTTAAGATTAATATTATACGACTTATATCGTGATATAACTTAGTAATAGCTGATATATATTGAATGGTGGCACTAACAAGCATACACTAAGCTGTTGCTCAACTTTCACTATCATGGCAGGCAATGATTTTTGAGGTGTGATTGCCAGAAAAATTGTACAACTAAAAAATTCAAATGCCGCTAGTGAAATGTATTATGTAATAGCAGGTGCCATAATAGTACAACATGTGCAAATAAATAAAAATTTAAATAATTATTTCTAACTACTCACCAATTTTACTAATTTTTATATGAACAAATAAATAATAATTCTGTTTTTAAATGATTTTTGTTTTGTATAAAGAATTAAAATAAATGTCAGTAGTTTGTTTTAATAATATAAAATTATAATTTTTACACAGCTTATCGCTTAAATGTTATGTGTCGTGTAATATTGATCAGCTTTTACTAAATCAATTTGAACATTCTGGGATGTACACAACGTGTTCAGTAAAACCCCGAATAAAATTAAGAATATCAGCATTTACCGAGTACAACCACTAACCAGTAAAACCTAGGTTTACCTAGTGATCGGGCATTTACGGTAACATATATAATACATATATGATATATATCTGTGCCTTAAACCGACGCTAGTAGAAGGGGCGCGCTCGTTCGGAACATTAGTATTATTATTTATTATTATTTACTATAATAAAACAACTCACAGAGGTCGTATTCGTGCACGGCACAAAAAAAAAACGAATACAGAATAAGTGGTAACAAGAATACAAAATAACCAAGATTTTCAAGAAGAAAAATTCGATACGTATCGACATTCGACACGGAAATACGGAATAGTTACGTTCCACCTCGTATCGGAGTCCGATACGGGTCGGTACGTATCGCTTGTATATTGCACTCGTAACATCTTGAACGCTCAAAATTGATCCGATACGTACCGATACACTCCAAATTCTTTCTTGAAAATCTTGTGCCGTATCCGAAGTGACGAGAAATAAGTGGTGATAAGACGCGGGATCGCCAAGGATTCTTAGTACTGTACCACTGGCTTATAACGTCCTTGAGTTCTACTCTGACCTGACGGACATCGACCGACGCGCTCGGCGCACTCACGCACAACGGACATACGATTTATGCTACTGCTTTCTTATCTTATGTAGTTTTATCTATGACAGTATTTATTGACTATCGACAATCCGACATTTCCCGAACATTTCCCGTGTGCCAGCAGCTGCCTGCAGTACTTGTGATTCGGTATATCGTGTGTCGGTCATTACTCGTTTGTGATTTATCTAATATTTTGATCTCGTGACTCAAAATGAATAGGAAAAAGAAATTTGAATTCGCCGTGGGTAAGTAACAAGTGTTAGTTTAATTACAATAACCGACATATTATTAATGAATTCCCAATATGATATTAAATCTTACAAGTTTCAACTGCAGGTACCTATTTGTTATTTATGTGATTTTAATATGCTATTAGTGAACTATATAATTAATGTATTAGTTACCAAGAGCAAGTTGTTGCCAAGCTGACTTGAGTCAGCATGCAAGTGAATTGTGCTCATATAGGTTCTGTGCAGGTTATAACTTTTTTGGATCCCTACAATACTGGATTAGCTCTAGATTTGTCAACTAAACAGCAGTGTGCAAGGTAGTGTGTTAGTTACATGGGGTTTAATCGCAAATTACTCTGCCTTTGTCTGGTGCTCCTTTAGTAATTTTATCTTCACTTCATTTTTTTTCTGTTGGTAAATAGTGCATCTTGCATATTCAAAAATAATATTGTTTGCTAATGATGTGAAGCTATTAAGATAAAAAAAAATAGCCTTGATTGTGTGAGGTAACTGGTAGATCGAGATCCTCCTACAAGATACTAAATAATAACTAAAATCCAAGACAACTTGAGTGTGTTCAACTCAGACTCCTACATTATGCTAGTTTTATACTTAAGATACCTTGTTCACAATTGTATGCCGATTGCTACTCACCTTTGCTTACCCTCTTTAGCCAAATGTCGATGTATAGCAAGTATTAAATTGTGGGTCTTCTAAACAAAAATAACGATTTACCTGTCCTCTCTAATCTGCTTCAAAGTTCATTATCGTTCATCTCGTTCTAGTGCCCTCTTCTACGTTCCACATGCCACCACCCAATTAGATAAATAATGATTAATGAGCTTTTACGACTAGATAATAATGTTTGCCAATTGCAGATTCTGTCTTTAATAACTTTTTATTCTAATTATGTGTAATTTATATATTATAAGTTATTGTAATTTGTATATTATTAATGACTATTATTTTAATAATTACTTTAATATCGTAATGACTTATTTTATCTCAAATGCGTACTGTTTTTTAATAATAATAATTGTGAACAACTGGAGTCGCAGCATTGGTGCGGTAGTCAAGATAACAGAATTGCGACTCAATTATTTAGGATAAATACTCCCACCAAATATTTAAATAGATAATACAAATTTGGGTAGGAAGAATGAATAATATCTTTTATTAATTAAAACAATTTACAGTGTAGTACATTTTGGGGTATATTTATATACATACCTATTATCTACAAAATATCTATAATATCACTATAATAATATAGTACACATTGTATTTAATTCTAATCTGACTTTTATAGTGTTAAGTAGTGTATTATTCTCGGTCTGTTACCTATGTTATTTTATAAACAGTTTATTGTGTCTCGTTATAATCGTTTTCTCTACTATAATTTCTTGTGTGGTTTGTAATCACCTGTGAAGTAGGGTCTCCAACTAAGACATCCAATGTTCAAAATTTCAACCGTTGTGTAAACAAAATGGTGTTATTTAGTTACGTTTACACTACCATTTATAATTTTAGTAACTAGGCATACAAAAAAGTAAATGGGTGTGTGATATGTGTTTGTCTTCACAAAACTTTGTGGATTTGGAGCATTTTACTTGGTAAATTTAGTCCAGTAGATTTGACTATTATATTTGTCTATTCTGATAAAGTTCAGAGAACGTCATAGCTTTATGCATTGTCTCTGTTTGGAAAACACATAACATTACATATTGTACACTCTGAATAATTCTTTTAACTTTGATATGTTTAATTTTAGGGTTAATTGACCTTCTACTAAATTTAGAATTAAAAGGATTATCTAGTAAATTACGTAGGTTTTTATACTTTAATTTTAAAGCAAGATGCTGAGCATTTTAAAATTGTGAATTGCTTGTATGTTTTAAAATATCTAATTGTTTGCTATAAAATTAAAATAGAAAAAAATTCACTAGATAATTTAATTACTTCTAAATTTGGTTATGGGTCGATTCACTCTAAAATTAAACATAACAGAGTTAGGTAAATGAATAACTTAGCCGTACTATTTGCTGTGTTATGCATTTATAAAATGGAGACAATGCAGACGGATATGGTATCCTCTTCAATAAATTTAATTTGCTGGCTATTCTATTGAATGAAGTTCAAGAGTCAATATCCTTATGTTCTGATAAAGTTGATAACTTCTCCAAATTAGGCATTTTGGTAACTAAAGTTAATATAATAGCCAGGAATTAGTTTATATTGAAAACAAATGTATGAAGATGCAAGAGAAATAGATTCCTAAAAGATTAGTCATAATGTAAATGAACAGTCTGCATTAGTCTTATCATGTGAATAATGTTGAATTCTTAAAGTAACTAACAAATTGCTCTCTGATACTCTATCGAAATTGGCTAACTTGGATTATGTAAGGTTGCACATTAAGGTATACTTAAAATATATTGCATTAAATAGT